TTATGCAAAGAAGGTTCTCCATAAACAAGATTTAATCGAACGTCGTGAAGTGGAACATACTCTTGCTGAAAAAAATATTTTAATTCAAGCTGAAGCTTGTCCCTTCTTGGTGGGACTTAAATTCTCTTTTCAAACTAAAACCCATCTTTATTTGGTTACCGATTTTATGAATGGCGGTGAATTGTTTTGGCATTTACAAAATGAAATCAGACTTTCGGAAGAAAGAGCAAAATTTTATGCTGCTGAAATAGTTCTCGCTTTGGAACATTTGCATAAATATAATATTGTATATAGGTAAATATTTACATATTATATATTTATATAAATCTCTCTTTTTTTTTTTTTGTCGAGAATAATTTTTTTTAGCAAATTACTAAATTCCAATGTTTCTTTTTTTTTAGGGATCTTAAACCTGAGAATATCCTGCTTGATGCTACTGGACATATAGCCCTTTGTGATTTTGGGTTATGTAAAGAAAATCTGGCTGCCGGACAAACCACAAATACCTTCTGTGGTACATCCGAATACCTTGCTCCTGAAGTCTTGGCTGAATGTGGTTACAACAAGTCCGTAGACTGGTGGAGTCTGGGAATATTATTTTATGAAATGATTGCTGGATTCAGTCCATTTTATACAAATGATACTCAATTAATGTATCGTAAAATCTTGTTTGGAAAATTGAAATTCCCAAAGGGTTTCTTTAGTGAAGACGCAAAAAGCTTGATAAAAGGGGTACGCTTTTTTTTCAATTATTTATTTATTTCTTTCTTCCTCGTTGATTTTTTATTAATCTTTTTTTGTTATTTATAGCTTTTGGCTCGTAATCCTCATAATAGGCTCGGCTCACATAACGATGCCGAAGAAATTAAAAATCATCCTTTCTTCGCCAATATTGATTGGGACGCTTTGTATCGTAAACAAGTGTCTCCTCCATTTAAACCGAATGTTTCTTCAGAAGATGATACTTCATGCTTCGATCCTTCGTTTACTGAAGAAGAAACTAGTATCGATTGGCCTTCTGTATCTAAAAATTTAAGTCGTAATGGAACTAACGCATCAATAAATAGTGAAATGAATGAAGCGTTCGGTGGTTTCACTTATTCTGGTGAAAATCAATATGGCTTGACTTCTTATCCCGGCTATTCCCTTGGGCTTGATTATGATTTAGACATCGGTAGTCCCAGCCCAAGTTCTCCCTCGAGTTCAGGTAGCTGGAGGAGTTTGGATGATGCGTTGGGGTATAATTAATTACCAAAACATTATTTATAAAAACAAAGGAACGAACAGTTTGTCGTTTTTAAAAAAAACGACTACACAAATAATATCTGAACATTTTTTTTTTTTGTACTATACTTCCCTCCTATATTTTTCCTTTTTCTTTTTTCTTTGCTTTTCTTTTTGTTGAATCTTTGTCTTTGTACAGTATATTATTATCGATGCTCCTTAATATTTTCCCTTTATTTTTTTTTGGGATTTTTGACCATCTTGTGATGGTAAACATATGCATCCGAATACCATCCCCTTTTTTATCTTGCTATTTTCTTTCGTGAAGCATGCACAACTTAAATGTGTCCCTTTAGAAACAAAATACGCAATGCATCACACAAAATATCTAAGCTCTTTTTTTTTTTTTTTATGAAAATATTGCCTAAGTGCGCAATATTTTTTCTTTTTTATTTTTCTTTTTTCTTTTCTTTATTTAAAAAGTATTACTACAATCGCCTTTTTCTTGCAATCATTTTTCGGTTGTTTAGGAAATGGCAAATGTATATAAGCTTAATTTTTTAACCCCTCTATAAGATTGTGGCGAGGATTTTCCTTTAAAAAAAAAAAAAAAATACAAAAACCAAAACAAAAATCTATGAAAATTACGAAAAAAAACAAACACCCGGTTTCTAAAAACTTCTTTTAGAACCCTTTATTGCTTTGAATGAACAACTATCAACAATTATGTTGTTTCGTTCTAATCCTCGCCCTCGCCATTACTCCGATTATAATTTATTACCGGTATATATGCTATAAGGATTTCCTAGTTCATTTATTTTTTTCTTCCTTTTTTTTTATTTTATTTTGTTCCGAGAACTTTGACAAAATATTTGGTGAGTCTTATTCGTCTATTGAAAAATTGGTGTGAACACATACCTACCGTAATAGGCGAATACGACTGTGAAAGTAGTTGTTTCTTTATAAAAAAAGGAGGGAAATCCAATAGATATAGATATAGAGGAAATTACTGTACAGTGTACAGTTTGTGTATTTTTTTATTTTTCTTTTTTCTACCCCCAACGAATATATTTTTCCTCTCTGGGTGCTCCTCTACGATGATCCGATCCATACTTTTGTAATTTATATATATTTTTAAAAAAAAAAAATTTCTTTAACATCCCTCCGCTACATACATATAT